TTTAATGCTCCTTCCAAGGCTGATGCATTCATGTAAACCATGGCACAGAAGCCTCATTACATATACCTCCTTAGAAGTAATATTTTCCAGGTCCTGAAACATCATTATGTTTCGGAGTTTGGCTTTGATCATACACTCTGTTCTCTCTCTCTCTGTTGGCCTGTGCATGACATGAAAAACAATGTTAATATAAGCTAAATCATTTAGGGTTTTAGTCCCATAATAAGCTCCCAAAATAAAATGTTAGTACCATATAAGAATATTCAATCTTATTTTACCACAATCAGTTTATCAGTCTGCTGTAGCATGTAAGATTTATACTATTTTCCACTAATATCCGCTGACAAATAACTCACTGATCAGAAAACATGACTGGTGAGTCAGGCCGTGTGGTCTCCAGATCTGTCATAGCATTCCACTCATTGATACAGCTCTGCTCTGAGGAGATGCAGCTCTCATAATAGCCAACCCATGTAAGGGCCATCCCTCCTGGAAAATAGTTGTATCTGCGGGACACCTCACATGCTTTGTGCATCACCTGGAGGGCAGACCTGCAATATACATACATACAGTCAAACATAAACGATTTATCAAGTACGTGAAAACACACTATTAAAATATCAAGAGAGAAAAAAAAAACACACTATAAGAGGATACGTAATAGTAAACGTACCACATGGCCTGGACTGACACAGGCTTAAAAACATGTAGTCTCCCTGCTGTACTCACACTGAAACCTCTGGGGGATGAGATGAGAGGGGTTTAGGCATGTAAAACACGAGCTATGACATAATTCGTGATTATACAGAAATGCATAAGCAGGCAGCAGGACGATGCTACTTTCCGGGGTTGGTCAGTGGAACAATTTTACACCACAAACCAGTGGAAAATTCTCTCTACATAATGCATCTGCCAATAGCCTCCAGGTCACATGCACAGAGAATATAAACATGTTATTTCGTACTGAACCTGTAGAGGTCATTCTCTGTACACATATGTGACCCTGGACCACAAAACAAAAAGTCGCTGGGGTATATTTTTAGCAATAGCCAAAAAAAACATTGTATGGGTCAAAATTATCGATTTTTCTTTTATGGCAAAAATCATTAAGATTATGTTCCATGAAGATATTTTGTAAATTTCCTACCATAAATATATCAAAACTTAATTTTTGATTAGTAATATGCATTGCTAAGAACTTCATTTGGACAACTTTAAAGGCGATTTTCTCAATATTTAGATTTTTTTGCACCCTCAGATTCCAGATTTTCAAATAGTTGTATCTCGACCAAATATTGTCCCATCCTAACAAACAATGAAAAGCTTATTTATTCAGCTTTCAGACGATGTAAAAATCTCAATTTCAAAAAATGTACCCTTATGACTGGTTTTGTGGTCCAGGGTCACATATATAAAGTGGTTTTAAATGTGACCAAAGATAGACGGTGCATTTTTATGTGTATGGTATGCGCAAGCAATCAAGTAACTGAGATAAAAAAAACAAAAACATTTATTGAAACAAAGTAAAAATGAGTCAGGAAAATCCCTATGAGTTAATTAAGAATAGGTTTTAACCTATAAGTAGGACTTAACCTTTGCCTTACAGGAAGTGAATTAAGATATTTACCCATCTCCATCCAAGTGAATCTTGGTATCACTCCAAATTGGAAGAGTCATCCCAATAGAGCAACTTTTACTACGACAAACAAACAAACAAACATTAGTGTCTACCAATAAGTGTAGCATAAAGAATGCATTCAGATCATGACCGGATTGATTCCTACCTGTCATTATCTGTAAAATCCGTCCCAAGCAGTATGTTTTCTTCAGTGTCTTGACGCCCATTTGTGTAGACAACCACCATGTACCGCACATGGTCCGTCCAACCGCTTTCTAACCTAACAACCTGTTGATGGAGATGGTGTACGTTGGTGTATGCACACTGTGAGGAGTAGCCATTCCTACATTGTACTGGACACAATGTACGTCACTTACTAATTTAATTCTGTCCTTGGCACGGAGGGTGTTTATCATTACTTGTAGATGTTGTGGTAGATCCCCTTTAACAATAACAACAACAACAAACATCTGAGTTTTATTAGCAATAAACCACTATTTTCATCAACAATAACAATGTAGCATTAGTTGTTAATGGAAAATCCACTTTTACTGTTGTGGTTCAGGGCTGTAACCACCATACTTCCTCCCAATAATCAGAAATTACCAAATTGCTCACACCAATATTTCATCATCTTGATGCTGTTCTGCTGCACTGCATTACGCACTGATATATTTGTTGTTATAATGACAAAAACCTTTAAAAGTTACATTTTCAAGCTGTTTTGCCTCATCAACATCTAAATGACTGAGATGGCCAATCAAATTAAAAAAAGAAGGCTTTACGGTTCACAGAAACCAAAAACTTCACTTTTAACTGTGACATAGTGCGAGGTAAGATGAAAGCAGCCAAACATTTAATATTTGACAACTGTTTTATGATAGAAATGTTAAACAACTGACAGTAATATCCAGTGATGCAAAATACTTTTCATTAATTCCATTCCCTTAAATCCTTAATTATTTAATTTGTCAAATTCTTCACACATGAAATTGATCATGGTTCTGACCTTGTTGTGGTTTACCTGCATTTTTATGATGGGTGGGTGTTCTGGGCCCTTGTGCACTGCTGCCTTGCTGTAAAAACAGAGCTGCCCCTTTTACCATGAAGAAACTTTCACTCAGGCTGAAATAGGCCACACATACAATTATGAAGACACTCCAGAATTAAGATTAATTATCATAGTTAAAAAAGGATGAATGGATTAAATAAGATGAATAAAAATAGCACCGACCTTAGGTTTGCCTTTCGATCATCATCACTGCCTATATCCTGACAAATAAAACAGCAGAAGTGGAATTACAAAGGGCCCTATACTGTATGTCTGAAATTACTTTGCATATATCAATCAATTCTGAATGCCTCTATTTATGGTTTAGATATACAAAGTAATTTGATTAGATGGGTACAGAAATGTAAGCCTTAAACGGAATTTTTTAAATAGTACACAGAAATGCTTTATGTTTAAGCAAAACAAAACAGTTTGGATAGATTTAGGGCACATTACAAAAAAAATGAAAGCCTCAGGGATGGCCATTACTGTGGGCTTATGCTACAGTAGGCTAGCTCATTAGTGGGCTGTCTCTAAGAAGCCTGAACAGCAAAATCATGACAATATTCTGGGTCCCATGATTGGTCAGTCACCAGGCAGAGTATCTATTCAATGACATCATTGCAGTTAAAAACAACCCCCTCCTCGCTAATGTGAAAACTTCAGCATGCGCTCGTCTACAGAGCAGGTTGAACTCGGTGACTTCTTGTAGTATCACATTTGCACATCATTAGAAAGGAGAAATGATCCCCGAGCAACAGGCCCGGCTAATATTAGCAGTTTAGGCGCTATTTACACATGCATCCCCGGCATTTCCTCCGCCGGTCAGCCTCCACTCACCTCCCCCGCGTTGGTGCTGGCTGAGGATGCGGCGCTGGGTGTAGGGGAGCGCTGCAGAGTCACCAGAGCCATGGCTGCAAACGCTGCAAAGCGTTCAGGGAAACCTCAGGCGCTCCGGTCCGAATAGGACACGCCGAGATTACCCGTTCAGCACCCGCCAGTGACGGGGTTAATGCATTCAGAGGCGCATTAAATCTATTTAGCGTAGCGATAAACCCATCATCGGCTTTGCCATCCAACTCGGCGATTCCGCAAATTCTCATTCACGTTAACGATGCCAATAAACAACGGTCTGTGCTCTATCTTCCCGGCTGGAGCGTTGATTTAGTGGCCAGACATAATGGACCTTGTTTCGGGACCGCCGTCCGTGGTTGTTGTAGTTCTGTGATAGTCTGCGTTAGATATGGGCTTCTGGGCCAACCGCGTGAAGGTGACTTGCACTTCTCCCTGACAACAGTGCATCCTATGCAGACTCAACACCCAATCATCCACATATACTACTCGAGCCGTTATGATGTCGACTATCTCGAAACTAACGTAATGCTTGATCGCCAGATTTTTCCTCCCTATGACGACGAGAAATTTGTATGGTTCAGCAACCAAAAATGGAGCTGAGTGTGTTTTGTCATGCAAATTGCATACCCCAAAATACCTCATGAAAAAAAACAAACATTTGTGTAACCCAAGTCCATCTGCATTAGTTATAGCTCTCCACTGAAATGTTGACAATTTTTAAAATGTAGCAGTCATATACATTTTAAATTATTTTCAATTAATGTGGGCTTATTCTATAGTAGGCTATGCTGATTTTTACTCTTCCTAGAAAAATCAAAATCAAAAATACTGAAAATATTGATGACTCATCTTGCAATACACAAATATTTGCCCAATCAAATTCTCTCTAGAACAAAAATGTCCCTCCCCCTGCAGTCAACCAGAGTAGCAAATAATGGAAGTCTGTTGGTGTATGGAAATTGTGAGAAAATAAAGCACAAAATTAAATCTTGAGGAACGTCACACAACAGGGCAAAGCAATATTGATACAATCCACGTTTATGCTAAATGTATTTGGAGCTTCTGAAACCTGTAAAAACTTTAATATACATAATTATGTTTACGATCATATAATTTGCTGTGATCGACAAATATGTCAGAAAGAGTTTACTGCCATAGTTTGCTTTTGGGCCGCTACTACACCAGACGCTTGTGTGGCACCTAAGCAGGCGTGCATGTACTGTAGAGTCCATTTGAAAAGCATCAAAATAGGAGACAAATTGACACTTGTGTAACTAAAGACCCAACAAAATAGTTTGACAAGTTCTTGGCATCATAAACAGCTTAATGTAACATTTCTAAAGAAACGACCAAAATCAGATTTTTTTTAGCATAATATATACATAGAGATTAATTACTATTTATTTAAAAATCTTGAATTTAGAATGAATTTACATAACATTTAGTCTACGGCAAAATGATTACATTAAACATTATGGCCTTTTCCACTATTAATCCTGAGATTTCACAGATTCAGTTTTCCATATGCTGTTAAGGACATGTATTGCTGGAAGACTCGGTTGTTTCAGAGCCATGCGGCCTTTCCATGTTTTTTTGTTCCATGGTGCTTTGCGTTGATTCCTGAAGGCTCCGCCCTGTTGTTTCCATGGGCAAAAACCAGGATGCCACTGTGCCCAGCAAGCAACATATTAAATACACAGACAGAGTCAGGTAAACGGATGACTTCAGAAGGACCTGAAGGGGGACAGACACAAATGCACATACAGGAAAGCATCAGTACACGTTCAATACACCTTCATCTTCTTATGAAACCAGAGGAATGCTTTACCTGAGCAATAAATGGTGTGATGAGAGCTCCAACACGAGCCATCCCACTGCCTGTACCAATACCAATAGCTCTGGTTGCTGTGGGGAAAACCTGAGGAGGCCAAGACAAGAAATAAAGGAAATTGCATTTTAAATGAAAATTCTACTGAGCATAATTAGGCGCTTTACAATGAAGCCTCACCTCAGGTGTATAAACATATGCAACCTGCCAGCCCCCTGTTATACAGGCTCGAGCAATGAAAATAAAGACTGTGAGAAGTGTCCTGGAAATAGTTAAGTAAAGAAAAACATGTCACTTACAGTGGCTTAAAAATATTTATTTTTAGTTTTAATTTTCTTACTTTTGCAATTACAAAGTTTTTTTTTTTGCATCAATGTACCTTTGTGTGCAGGCATACAGTGGCAAAATCGACACAGAGAACAATAAAAAACAAACTGCCATGCTTTTTCTCCTGCCAATTCGATCAATCATCCACAGGGTCACCAGAATACCTATTCTGACATCAAGACACAAATTACAAAATTGTCTATTAGTTTATATGTAGATCATATAACAATGTTTGCATTTAAGTTGATTAACTAAAAACTACATGAGAGGAGAGAATGACTTATGGTGTCACGTCACCTGGAAATTCTGCTAAGGTGGTCCACAAAAGGTCCACATAATCATGAAAAGTCAGATAATTGCACTCCAAACTGCACTGAGGTTCCATATTTGAGTTGTCGGTGGCTGGAATTAGACACATTTTTACTGAAATTCACAACACATTGTGCTTACGTGTTTTAATTGTATGGTAAATTATTCAAGAAATGACGTTCATTACTATTTAAAACCTGTTGCATGTGCTAGCTATATTAAAAAGATATTACTTTCTATGATGAGTACAGAAAATTTTACACTAATCTTCAAAAGTTTGGGGTCAGTAGTCCAAAGTGACAGTAAAGGATTTTTTTTTATTCATCAACAGAATCCTGGAAAATTTTTATATATATATATATATATATATATATATATATATATACATATATTTGCTGGAAATTCAGATTTGACATCACAGGAATAAATTACACTTTAAAATAGAACATTTTTATTTTAAATTGTACTAATATTTCACAATATTACTGTTTTTACTATATTTTTCACCAAATAAATCCAGCCTTGGTGAGTATAAGAGACTTCTTTCAAAAACATACAAAATTTTACTGACCCCAAACTTTTGAACAGTTGCGTAGTTCAAATTTGTGGTCGTAGTCCAAGTTAAATACAAAAGTGTGTCAAAATCTAGTCAAAATCTACATTTTATGATGAGCTTGATCACAAAAAGTACTTACAAACCACTCACCACTACACGCAGATCCTGCTTGGAACAGCTCAGTGGTCAGCAGCACAATACCATAATATGAAAAAGCATTACAAAACCTGTGTGTGTAAAACAAACAAAGTAGGTGAGTTTTTAGTTTTATGTTTTTTTAATTTTATATGGAAGGATTTGACAATTTTTAACAATCTGCATACCAGATAAACCACACTAAGAGTGTTGTTTTTCGGTATTCTGGAATAAAAAGATCTCTAATCCTCCCACGATCAGTCTAGAACATATAAACACAAATCATTTGCTACTCTAGTTTATGAGAAATTCTTCAATAATGTGTGAGGGGGAGATTTTGAGGAAAGGTTTAGGACTGGTAGCCCCACATACCTGTGTGTTGGCTATAAGTCTTCCAGCAGGCACAGAGCTCCCATTAGCTGCTGCTATACATTTCAAAGTGTCCAGGGCCTTGTCTTCTCTGCCTCTCAGTACATCAAATCTAGCACTCTCGGGTAACCACTACAGACAAATGCCCACAATTCACAATCAGACAGTAGACTTAATATGAATTCTATCTGAATTTAAGGCGTCTAAACATGAGCCTTGTGTCTAGTAACAGTTGAAATATTGTTACAGCCATACATACACAGCAGGAGGCAGCAAAGACAACTAGAGGAAGGGTGGAGAAAGCTAGCAGCCATTTCCAGCCTAATGTGGGCATGACCACCATAGCCAGTAACACTTCAAATACAGCACCCAAGGCCCAGAACACCTATTAGAACAGAACACCTATTATTATTATTTTTTTTTATTAATTATCATCACGGCATGTTTACGTTATATTTAACCTAATGTACACATTGCTTCAGTCAATTACAAAACCAACCAACTATCTCGGTAAAAATTTTTAGTATACTGAAAAATTGCATAGTGAAAAATGTGAGCAATAGTTGAATAAACATTCATCTGAATTACCCCTAAAAGGATTATGGATAGCCCTCTGGATTTCATCGGGAGGAATTCAGTATATAATGTCACTCTGTAAGGGAAGGAATTCAAATATATGAAAAATATATCAAATAAAACATCAAATATTATATAAAAATAGAGAATATAAGTATGGGGTCATTGCAATGTTTTTGAAGAGGTCTCTTTTGCTCACCAAGGCTACATTTATTTGATCAAAATACATTAAAAACAGCAATATTGTGAAATATTATTACCATTTAAAATAAACATTTTCTATTTTAATATAATTTGCATTTTAATTCATTCCTGTGATGTGACTCCAGTCTTCAGTGTCACTTGACCCTTCAGAAATCATTTGTGTATTCTAATTTGCCGCTCAAGAAACATTTCTTATTATAATTCATGTTGAAAACAGTTGTGCTGCTTTATATTTTTGTGGAAACCGTGATACCTTTCTTTCAGGATTCTATGATAAATAGATAGCTTAAAAACAGCGTTTATTTGAAATATACATTTTGTAACATCAGTTCATTTTTACTGTGACTTTTGCAAAAATCTTACCGACCCCAAACTTTTGAACTCTAGCATATATAGATACAGATAATTGTATGTTTTTAACACTTGGTGATGTAAAAGCAATGGCCAAAACTACAATCGGCCACAGATCAAGCAAGTTTCAAATCTAGAACATGAAAAAGTACCACAAGGAAGTACTGAATTCTTACTGAATGTTGCTCACTTAATGTGACCTTTGAGTTTGTAATAAAACCAAGAGTCACACTTCACTGATGGAAAAACTCACGACTGAGGGGCTCCTCCAAGGCCAAACCCCACGAGGCCTCGCAAGACTAAGATCCAACTGTAAGCAGGTGCGAAAGCACTGAGAAGCCCATAGTGCAATGTCCACAGCATGCAGAGTATTAAACACTAAAAGATGGAGACGGCGATGCTGTCAGTGAGGCAACAATGACTGCTTTAAGTTCTTAGTTACATAAAAATGCTTGCACTGACATTATTAATTTACTAATTTCACTTTAAACCAAACATACCACTTTTCGGCCGTACTTGTCTGAAATGTTCCCCCAAAGTGAGGAGCTGATCATCATTCCAATGAACACTGTCTAACAAGGTACAAAATTACAATAATCCATAAGATTCAAAAGATTAAATATTATGAAAGTCTTAGCAACACAGAGTGTGAAAAATCAACATTCTACCGTAAGCTATGTCCAAATGTAACCCCAGGAGTTGTTTAACCATGTTAGTGTTTAACAGTGAATATACTGACCGCTGTTATGAATGCCACTTTCCAGCTGGAGAGCCTCCACTCACAGCGCAGTTGAGGAGTTGCAATACTAAGGAGCATCATTTCCATAGCATCGGCCATCTTTGCAAGCAAATATGAAACATAAGAGTTTGAATTTTCATGAAACAAGTTTTTAAGTAAACTGAATGAACCAAACAAATTGAAGCTATTTGTTCAGTAAACATCACTTGCGTTTAAAATACTGTATAATGCTGAATTTCTTACCCATGCAACTCCTGTTAGCATAGACAGCTTCCACTGAAACTTTCCAAAACCAATAGCCTCAACTGCTTCTTCCACAGTGAAGGTTTCTGAAGAAATGCATATTTACTGAATGATGAGAAGATATTGTATACAGCCATGCACAAATCACCAAATAGACATTACAGTTATCTCCTTAAGACTGAGCCAGACAGGAAGGAATCGTGGTTTGAATGAAAATAAAAATCTTGAATCTTGAAACCAAGATGAGGTCTGTGTATTCTTCTGAGCTCGCACGTATTTAGTAAAAAGCATAACGTCAAGCCTGTGAGGAATTTCATTCTGTTGACAGCTAAGTGATAACCTGATATCTATTTTCTGAACGCATATGACAAACAGATTTCAGTGATTTTTTTTAACTGCAACAATGATGGTACCATGTAAAAAAAAGTCCCACAAGCTATAATCTATTAGTCTTACTATTTGTGCCTAATTATATACAAGCCTAATTTTTATGAGCATCAAGACATACTTTTTGTTATGCTCTATAGACAAAAAAGCCAGATGTTCACTTTAATAATATCCAGCTGCCTACTTCAGGATACATAATGTTATTTTTTAAGCATCCTAAACCGACTTCACACTCAAAGAACATAAATAAATTGCACTGATGGCATACACATTACACCACAAACCAGACGTTTATTACCATTTTAATCTTTAAATATTCAACTCTATACTAGAATAAAGAGAAAATGTTCAAATTGCACATTTATCTACAAATGTAGATGTTGGATATCGATGCCTACCTGAGATTCCAGAGCTTCTGTTCTTGCTGTCCCCCAAATCTTGCTCCAGAATAGTGCAAACTCCTTCATTGCTAGGCTCATTTTCCCCAGGCTGCTCCTCATGAACAGTAAGGATGCTTTTGTCATCTGTCTGTGATGTCACAAAACTAAACCAAAATATAGACTTTAGCCTCTTTATGGTTTACAGTGCAAATCTGACACTTATTAAGTATTTCAACCCAATATTGTAGTCGGCTTTTCATTTCACAAACTAAACAGAATTTAAAATGGTGTCCTTTGACATTTCTAGACTACGGTTTTCAGTTTTCACTTAATTAAAAGTTCTAAGACACCAGCACAGATGTGCACTGCCGTTCAAAATTTTGGGATCAGTAAGATTTTTTACGTTTTTTTTAATGCAGTCTCTTATCAAGGCTGTATTTCTTTGATCAAAAACACAGAAAAAACAGTAATATTGTGAAATATTAGTGCAATTTCTAATAGTGGTATCCTATTTTAATATACATTAAAATAGAATTTATTTCTGTGATGCAGCGCTGAATTTTCATTTCTCCAGTCTTCTGTGTCACATGATCCTTCAGAAATCATTCTAATATGCGGATTTATTATCAGTGTTGAAACTGTCGTGCTGCTTAATGTTTTTTTGGAACCTGTGGTACTGTTCTCTTTGATTCTTTGATGAATAAAAAGTTAAAAAGAACAGCATTTATTCAAAATGGAAATCTTTTCTAACAATATAAGTCTTTACTATCACTTTTTATCCATTTAACACATCCTTGCTGAATAAAAGTATTAATTTCTTTAAAAAAAAAGAACCCCAAACTTTTGAATAGTAGTGTGTATTGTAAAACAACATTTATATTTTGAATAAACATTGTTATTTTAACCTTTCTATTTATCAAAAAATCCTGAAAAAAGTATCACAGGTCCCAAAAAATATTGAGCAGCACAACTGTTTCCAACATTGATTATAAATCAGCATATTAGAATGATTTCTGAAGGATCATGTGAAACTGAAGACTGGACTTTGCTTCACAGGAATAAATTATATTTTAAAGTATATTAAAATAGAAAACTGTTATTTTAAATTGCAATGATATTTCACTAAATTACATTTTTTCTGTATTTTTAATCAAATAGATACAGCCTTGATGAGCATGAGAAACCTCTTTAAAAAACATTAAAAATCTTACTGATCCCAAACTTTTGAACGGCAGTGTAAATCATACCTACCAGCCACAACATTTTTAAACACATTTTAAAAGTAAACACAAAAACACACATATTACCTGATATTTGTGTCTTTCCAGCGTTTGTAAGCCACTTGCGACGATCTTTTCAATGCACTCATTTCACTGGGCTATAATGGAATGCTAAACTACAACAGTAGTGTACTTGGCTATAGAACGGGTTAGACCGGCGTGCGTCTCTGATTACATCAACACAACCTCAAAGATGGTAAACTTTAAGAGTGGGCTTGGACTCACACAGTCCTCCAGAGTACAATCCACACGGCATCATGTTGTCCCTAAACAACAAAAAACAAGAAATCGAGGTCATGGGAATGTGTGGGATTCTTTCATAAAATCTTATTCATTACCATTCGAAAAGTTTGTTAGACAGAAGCATTAGGGATGTTAAGAAAAGGGGAAACTATCGGATTTCATGAACTATGTACTTTCCCCCTAAATCCTCTTTTGAATGAATGAATAATAAACACTCTTTCTTTGTGTTCTATTTCTCTGGGTAGCAATAATTAAGTAAATAATTCAGCATTTTACTTCATAGATCAGATTTTTAAAAATGTTTATTCATACAAACAGGTTATTCAGATGTATACACACTTCACACTAGTTATTCTATGTTCAAACAGCAAAAATAACTGAGTTGATTTAAGCACCACTGAAGTGGCATAAAACAACTAGGGCCGTAATTCTCATCCTGGGAGCCGAGGAACACTACTAAGGGAGCTGCAGGGTGACTTAAAAGTATTAAAATTTATATTTTCAAATAACTAAATAATAACTCAAATCTAGATAAAAATGGTAAAAACACATAACATCAATATGTAAACTGAAAACATATTTCTTTTTAATTTCCCTCAATAACTATTGTTTTTATTAAAAAACACACAGTTCTGTACAGAAGCCCTGAACCGCAACATGAACAAAAACATTTCAAGGTGTGTGAAAAAAGTGTCCTATTTTTGTTCTCTATTTCTCTTTGAATTTTATTCCTCCAAAAAAAAATGTCTTAATTTTTTTTCTCTATTCAAAACATTTTCTATGCAAGAGGCAACACAAAAAAAATATAAAAAATACAAAATTATATATATATATATATATATATATATATATATATGGCCATTTAACATTGTCATGTGGTACCAACCTTGGCCAGCAGGTGTCGTGTTTATGTTTCATGTGGCATTCATGGAAGGAACATTGTCCTGGACAATGGGGGCCTTCAAGTCAAAAAGGTCAAACTAGGGTCAAAGTCGGGTCGAATTAAATTTATTTTTCTGTACCAAGCAATGCCTTGCCCTTGTAATGTTAATATTTTAGAAATGTTAATGCTTTTTAAATAAATAATGTTTTTTTTTTTTAAATAATATTTTTTTTACCTTTTTTTAAATAATAGCTGTAGCTAAAAAAAAATTCACAAAGGAAATACCACCAGATTTGAAATTTAGTCATATTTAATCAACACAAGATCATGTTATGTCTCTGGTTAACAGTTACAGTCATGGTTTAGGAAACATGGCTTAGAGTTGAAGTTTCGCTTTCAGTTTTGCAAATTATCGAGTGAACCTGCATTTGCATGACATGGTAGAACAACGGTGATGCAGCAGTATTTGTGAAGGGGTCTGAGAAACAACAACAACACTGTCTTACTTTACACAACTTGTCTTACTTTGGACATGTCAAAAGGTAGGTTAAGTGTCTGAATAAGTTCAACAAGCTACATTTATCGGATTATTTTAGGTAATTATTGTAAAAAAGAATATATTCAAATTTTTCCTGCATTTCCTGTTCATTCATTGTGTGCCATACCTAATATAGTCAGTTCATAAACAGTCCTGTATCTAAGTGTATGCTATTCTTATAATTTCTTTGCTTAAATGACAATGCATGCTGCAAAGAGCAAGTTAGTGGTGAGAACATGCAGCTCAGTGAGGAACAGCTGCATCAGATAGAGCAGAACAGACGTGCCGCACTGGAACGCCTGGCCAGCAGAAATGTACCTGTACCCGTTGGTGAAAGCTGGCGAAGACAAATCGGGACTGAATTTACAAAACCTTATTTTACAAAAGTAAGTGATACTTAGTATGAGACATCACCAAAATGACAATGAAAAGATGAAGTAAAAAAAAAACTTGTTCCTGTATTGGTTTATTTTTTCAGCTCATGTCTTTTGTTACAATGGAGAGGAAATGCTTTACTGTTTATCCCAGCCCTGAGCAGGTGTTTTATTGCACAACTTTGTGTGCAATTGAAGATGTAAGTTCCTTAATATAGAGTATAAAAAAGGAAAAGATCAGAGCGTTTAAATAGGCTACAGGTTGTGTTTGTGTTGACAGGTAAAAGTGGTCATTCTTGGACAAGACCCCTATCACCATCCAGGTCAGGCTCATGGTTTGGCCTTCAGTGTGCTGAGGCCTAAACCTCCTCCTCCTAGGTACCACATTGTACTGAACTGTGAAAATAACTATACTGATCATCTCACCACAGTGATATCTTACAGTACATCTCTAATGACTACTCTGTATGTTGACCTGCTTCACTTATTTCAGTTTGGAAAACATATTTACGGAGTTGAAGGAAGATATTGTTGGCTTCGGGCACCCAGGTCATGGAGACCTCACAGAATGGGCTAAACAGGGTAGTTAAATGTTTTTTTTTTTTTTTTTTAAGAAATTAATACTTTTTAAAAGACATTTATAATATTACAATAAATAACATAAATGTTGTAATAACAAATAAACGTTGTTCTTTTGAATTTTCAAGAATCTTGAAAAAGGGCTGTCACACTATAGCTCTATAACTGTTTTTAACACTGATAATAAGAAATTATTCTGGAGCATTAAATCAGCATATTTGAATGATCTCTGAAGGATTATATAACACTGAAAACTGGAGTAATGGCTGCTGAACATTTTTTAATTTGTAATTTTAAAATATATTAAAATAGAAAATAGTTATTTTAAATTGTAATAATATTGCACAGTATATCTATTTATTGTACTTTTGATCAAATAAATGCACACAGTGTGAAAACTACTGCGTGCGACTATGAAAAAATATTTAGGAGCACCAGTACTACTGACCCGATCAGCATATTTGTGTTTGCGCTGAATGATTCAGTGATAAAATCAGTAACTTGCCGCCACCTACTGACAGTTTTAGTTTCATTTTTAAAGGGGTCATATGATGCGATTTCAATTTTTCCTTTCTCTTTGGAGTGTTACAAGCTCTTGGTGCATAAAGAAGATCTGTAAAGTTGCAAAGACTAAAGTCTCAAATCCAAAGAGATATTCTTTATAAAAGTTAAGAGTCAGCCACACCTACCTAAAACGGCTCGTTCTAACACGCCCCCACATGTCTACGTCACAATGTGGGAAGATTTGCATAACGCCGCCCAAATGTTCACACAAAGAAAGAAGGCGTAACTTTTATTCTCGCTGTAGTATTGTTGTTGCCGCCGCCGCCATGTCGTGAAGGCGCTGTGTTTCGTTGTGAAAGCGAAACTACTTTGTTTGGCCTTCCAAAAGAGGACAATATCCGCTTCGTCATGCCTGGAGCTGATCCGTGCTGCTCGCTGAGGAATCACCAGAGTCCAGCCCGGGGTCGTCACATGTAGTTGCCGCAAGCCCGCCGAATCCGTAATTATGTCCCCACTGGATGCACAATATGGTAAGGGGCGTAACATTTCCGTCACATGCTTGAGGTATTCAGCCAATCACAACGCACTGGCCATATAGCTGGCCAATCAGAGCACACCTCGCTTTTCAGAACGATGAGCTTTGTAAAAATCGACACGTTTCAGAAAGGCGGGGCATAGAGGAGAAACAATAATGTACAGTATGTGGAAAATAATGTGTTTTTTTAGTTTAAACCACATAAACACATTTCATTACACCAAATACACAAAATAATGTTCTTTTTAGCAATATCATATGACCCCTTTAAAGTTTCATCATTATTAATAATTTCTATTATTAAATAGATATCATTTTCTATTATTAAATCTACCTCTGTATTGCAAATGAATTTTGTTAATACTGATTTCATTTGATCAGTAACGTATTCTTCTTATTCTACTGTTTTAATTCGAATTTTTAAAAAGCTTATAAATATACATTTTTGAACTTGATATAAAAGACACTTTTAATCAAATTAGAAAAAATGCCCTTACAAAAATAAACAAAATGCCCCTGTAAATCACTTTAAGGAGTCAAATATCACCTCATAATATTAATCAGAAGGTACTCCTGAATTGTTTGACTGTGCTCCTAAAAAAAATAATAAGGATAGAGCACTGCTTTGAGCATAAAGGACTTCTTTCAAAAACATTTAAACATCTTACTGACCCCAGACTTTTGAACTGTTGTGTATGTGCCTGTATATGAGTGACCCATCAAGGTGTTACGAGTTATAATTTAAAAGCTACAGATTTTATGTTTAATGTCAATGTTCTTTCCATTGTCAGGTGTTCTGCTGCTGAATTCTGTGTTGACAGTGAGGGCTCATCAACCCACCTCTCATGAGGGTCAAGGCTGGGAGATCTTCACAGATGCTGTGGTCCTGTGGCTCAGCAGGAATCTCAATGGCTTGGTCTTTCTGCTTTGGGGCTCTTATGCTCAGAGGAAAGGCAGAGTGATCGACAGAGTAAGTTAATGGAGACAGAATTATGAAATGTCAATATATTTATCAGGAATAAAAGTGCACTTAGCATTTTTTAAACAAAGTTTACACATAAAGTGATAAACAGAACTTTTGAAAAAGTATGTAAAAAATCATGTACACTCAATAAAACATTAAAGCGGTTTTATGTTACATGGAGTAGCTGTCTCGTAAAGGCCAATGAGTTTTTGACCTGCAGAATGTTACTGTTACTGGACACTTTTGCTAGTGGTATGAATAATCAGGGTTACTGTGAATATTGCAACTAAAAATGCACCTTTAAAACACATTATGATACAATAGAAAGAAATATATGACTGGCTGCTTTTCTTTTCCAGAAACGTCATCATGTCCTTGAGACCTCACATCCATCACCATACTCGGCACATTTAGGCTTCTCTGGATGTAGGCACTTCTCTAAAACTAACATTTTGCTTAAAGCATCAGGAAAGAAGCCAGTTGATTGGAAAGCTCTCTGAAATAACATTATGCCATTTATTCACTTTTTTTTTTTTTTGTAAAACAGAGGTTGTGAACATTAAACATTATACATTACAATGTTTTGTATTGTATAGTACAGTTATATTGCAAATGGGTCACAGCTGCCCTGTTGTGAGGTTAACCTTGTAATAGTCATCTACATGTTGTTATATTGCAAATAATTACATTATCTGGACAATAAATGAATACAATTAATAAATGTATTTCATTAGTCATATTGGACAAAAAGGGTGTGATTTTATAGACTTACCACATATTTCAGCTAAACGTTATAGCTATAGGTTAAAAACTCACAACATTAATCCCTTTAAAAAGGTTTAAACTACTGTAAGATATAAAAGATATTAAACACAGCAAAAATGTGAATTTAAATTTGATTTTAAAATGTAATTTAGGACAGATAGAAGTAGTGCAGTATAGAGAAATGTGTAATATTATTAAGCAAAACCCTCAAGTATTGCCCAAAATGTACAGTTAGTAATTCTGATGCACATTTTGACAAATCTTAACATTAATAGGTTCCATAAATAGGTTTAAAATGACAGCGCAATACTGATTTTCAATTACTTTATTCGACTTTTACAAATATAAATACATTAAGTAAAATTAAAATACAAATCACACTGTATATTAAGATCACAACATGGTGTAGTCTGCCTTGAGCATTTGGGAATGAGGCCAGTCTCAAAAAAAAGGAAAAGAAAAATAGGACACTACGACAGCCCATGTAGAGCATGTTTCATAGTGGGATGTCCATAAATCCAGGTGATGCAGCCATAATAAGCAGTGTCCCACTTCAACCCTTCTTGGACCTCGTCTTTTTTCTAATGCTGGACACCAACGCACATACAGTGCGCTACACCTCTCTGCACCACTGGAACTGCCCCATTCTCTCTCGGGACTCTCAATTCAAACAAACCAAACAGGACGCGAATATTGTCTTGCTCTCATCAAAACATGTACTGCCTGAACTCTAAGGTAAGATGTACCAACTGTCCATAGCAACACTTTTGCTCTAGAGAGAGTTTGCAGCTTATTTCTTGACACTGGACTGTTGACCTTAACCTATATTGGATGAGCCATACATAATTATTTGTTTAGTAATGCATAATCAAAATGTTATTATCTATCAAAATTTCAGTATCTATCTATCTATCTATCTATACTGACAAACTAATATAATTGTTATTGCTGAACACAGCATGGCCTACATGTTTACAATTTATACTTGTAAAATACAAATGTACAGTTAAAGTCGTGGACATTCAAATGTTTATACATTCTTCCAATGTTTATATTATAGTCTAATAAAACAAAACGGTATAACACCATGTAATCTTTGAGGGTCTACCATCACGGTCAGTTCAGTTCCTTTTTATCTGAAGTGTGTTGTGTTTAGTTACAAGAGAGCATCTGTTTCACCACTGTATCGACTTGCAACACTAACGTATAAATTAGGTCAAAGGTGTAGTCGGGGACACTAATTAAGGCTATGCATATTAACATGGCCATTTTGTGCTGCTGTGGAATTTCCGATCTCTTGAGCTGAGCCGTGATTCTACGGATCATTTTACACCGTGATGTACATTGCAGAATTACTTTTTTATAGCGATTAACTACTCTGCGATTGTGGGATAATTAGTTTACCTTTGGAATCCTGTCTACAGCGAAATGTTTGGATAAGGCTTTTGTAAAACTCCGAACAAAATCATTTTAAAACAGCAAACTATACCACTCGTTCCAACACAGCAACGTTATGCCGAGTTCACACTGCATGATTTTCAAACTCGTCGAGCGCGTGCGCGCGACAGGAAGTAAGTGCGCAAGACTGTCCCATTTCTTAAAAACGCAGTGCCCTTAACGCACACTAAATCCACACTATCTCTAATACCACTCCGGTGCGCTATTCGAGGCTTAGTGTATCCCATCATGCATCATGATTTTATTTGACCCTCTAACTCTAGCACTTTCTATTCTGTTTTAATTCTACTTTATCTACATTTATCTTCTTTTTTGTTTTATTTTTTATTTAAAACAACAACAACAACAAAAAACTAACAAACACTAGCTTTCTATTTTTTCTATTCTATCTACTTGTTTTTCTTTGTGTGTGTGTG